GTTTCATGCAGACCGTTACCGAGCTCATATGTTAGCGGGCTGACCCTACCCGAACCACCCGGATTGACGCCTCTACCTACCACCGAACAAACTATGACTGTACATTGATAATTACCTTATCTCTGAATGTGTTCAATCTCATCAAAGTTTGAACTATTAGAGAGGAACCAATTTATTAATTTGAATCACAACTAAAACCCTTGGGAAAACAGTTGCAGCTGAAAATAATTACAGTATTGCATGGTTGAATGAGTAGCTTAGTGACATACAGTATACTTCTCAATCATAACTAATGGAATTGGTATTAATGGCTGTAGACATGGGTCCCATTTGGTATAATTTCTTTGAAATTTATTTTCATTTAAACATTCTCACAATAAATAGTTTTGTGGTCCTATAACGTTTTCATACCTTTTAGCCACACTTTCTCAAAAAAATAAATAAATTTATTAAAAAAAAATCTACATCAAATTAGTGAGTTAATTCTCTCAATAATCACTAAACTTATGTTTGTGTCTTCGACCGCTAACTAAAGTTTCAAATGTCGAGTTTTGACCACTAAATTTATCAAAATATTGGATGTTACTCACGACATGACATTCGTTTCACAACTCTATGGAATTGATGTCATGCCAAACAAATGCATAGGTGGTGCCCAAACACCGTTATGTAAATTTCCACGTAAGAAAGGAGTTTTTAATTGCTCACTATACTTTGGAAAACATTTTTGATTGTTCACTATACTTTAAGGTGTCGAGTTTTGACAACTAAACTCGTAAAACTGACATCGGACTGTCCTAGAATTCAAGAATGTTGTTCCAAATATCACTTGCATACAACAAAATTTAATTTTGTAATATGTTACAAAGGAGTGTTTCAAAACATTTTGTAATATACTTGAGTTTTGTTGCAATTCATCCTATAATTGATCTATATTCGAAGCTAGGTTTTGTAAGAGAAAACCAAGGATATGAGCTAGAGTTTGCAAAATTTCGATTCTAAATAGAGACATATTGATCCATATTAAATTCTAAACATCTCGATACTTGATTTTCCTAAATCATCATTGACCACCTTATGCATTTTACCGGTTAAAGTTAATTTGGACAATCTACAATTTGTCAAAAAAATATAATAAATATTTGCAGCTTGATGAGTGTATTTCACTCACACTTTTGATGCCACTTAATCTTGCCGGCTTAGAGGAGAAAACAATTGCAAAAGATTGGCGCTGTAGTGCCATCTTAGCCACGCCTCTAGGGTGAAAATTTCATAACACTGGCGCCCTGAGCCATCAACCGGGCGCCAAGGCGCTAGACACATGACCATCACGATGCCGCGGAGCCACGCTTGTGGCGCCTAGGTGCCGCTTGACGAGAATTAGATTTTTATTTTTCTTGGCCGTTGAAAACCCTAATGAGTCCAACTTCGAGACAACCATTAGATATGCATAAATACAGCTGATAAGGGACTTTCAAAATAGAATTCAACGAGGCAAAAACAAGACATCAAGAAAGAGATTGAAGGCAACAACGCAAAGAAGATTGATTCAACTCCAAAACAGTTTTATCTTTTCTTTTCTATATATTTTTGATAATGAATTTGATAGTTTTTCTTTCATCCATCACGAACTAATTCTTCCATCTATGGTTTGATGTAAATCTATACTTGAGACTATATTTTGATAATTTTTTGTTATTTATTTGAGGATTTTCGTTAAAGTTTATTTGTATTGTTTATTCTTAATGCTTTCAATTAACTGGTCATTGATTGAATGATTTGATTGTTTAAGTTTCGACACTCGAGAGAAAGTGAACCTTAGACGTGATCATAAAATAAAACAACCTAGGCTTGATATGTTTCGAGAGAGAGTATAAATCTTTTGAAGCGATTCCACATAAGAACTCTAAAACTTCATAATTTTTAGATTTTTAATTCGGAATATAGATATTAGAATTGAATTATTAAAAAAATATTTTACTCCGCACTTAAGAAAGGAAATAAAATTACATTAGGGTTCTTGTTTATGAACTTTGAAAAACCAAATTAGAGATAAATAGAGAATTGAGAAACATTGTTGATATTTAGATGAAATCAAAACCTTGGGCTCTTCTTATATTGATAAAAACTTGCATTAAAATAGATGAGTTAGCCAAACATTCACGATAGATTTAGGTAAAAATATTGATCTTATAATTCAATTGCCTACATAAAATAAGGGCTATTTGATTATAGCACTTAGTAAGAATTTAAATTTCAATTCCAATGGGTTCGACATCCTAACTTCACACTTATATTACAAAACATAACAACCGTACACTTGCGATATAATCGATGTAGTTTACATGCAACATATCTACTAATTTAAAATGGAACTTGAAGAGGGATAAAATAAAATGGCAAGAAAACATTGACGATTTTGATGATTAATTTTTACAAAAATATATATGTGTTTGACATTCACACAAAAAATCCATAACCTACATTAACAATAAACCAACATGTATTACTTGCAGCCAATATTTCTGTGCAACCAAAAATATACACAAAAAATATCCAAAAACATTCATCATAATTATGTGGACAAGTATGCACAAATATGTCAGAGAGTTCATCTCACTACGAATTTCGGTTTCCATTACGTCAAATAGAGATTCAAGATTCACCTTTAGATTTTGGAAAAGTTTACGAAGAGCGAATAGACAAAAATTAAAATTTTAGCACGAGTTTTCATTCGTAAACAGATGGATAGTCAAATATAGCAATATAGATCTTGAAGGCATGCTCTGGCATTCGTCCACTATAGGAATGATACGACATGAAGCTCTACGTGGTAGTTATAGGGGGTGTCACACCTAGAATATAGATCACTCTTTCAACTACATCTCGAAAGTTGATCCTACTGGACTTGAGGATTCTTAGTGGCCATTTGGTCCCATTGTTCCACATTCTATTGAGAGGAATAATAATTTTTTGAAAAATGTGTAATTTGAAAAAAGGAAAAAAATTTAGATTTTAATGTAATATTATTCTATTATTTTGGCACAAATCTTTTTACATCTAGAGAAGCCACCTCACCCTTTGGAATTTTATACGCTAGCTTTCAACCACCATTGGTGGTCCAAAAAACTCAATTTTCCCTTCATCTCATTCTATTCACTTTCTTCAGCCACATGTCGAGTCTATAATCAGTGGTGTCGCGTGGGTGAAGTCTTCAATGGGTGGATGAATCGGCTTCTTCGTGCAGGTGAAACTGTTGCTTCTTCTTCGCGTCGGTAAATTGTCGGTTTTGAGAAGGTTTAGGATTTCTCTGTGCCTCAGTTGGTTTTGGGGCTTTCGGAGGGTTTTAGGGTGTAATTATTACGGTTATTAGAGGTTTTAATTTGTTTAAATGTATAAATCTAATTTGCTATTTTTTTAGGGTGGTGGACCTAATTTGTCCGACGGGAGCACGTTAAGCCCACTAACTATAACGTTGGTATGCTTAGAAAAGGCCAAACGGTCTTCATCAGTTAATCCCACATTAACCGAAGCCCCATGAATTGGGCTAGAAATAAGCCCAATAGACGTACATATTTCAGCCCATTATCTTCGAAGTTGTTCGTCTCGAAAGTAGAAGAGATCGTTGCTATGGCTCAACGGTAGCTATTTGAAGAAACACAACAAAGCTACTTAAGTGTTCAAAGGGGTGGGTCTTCCCCGTCCCTCCGCCTCTGGCTGGCTCTCACACCTTCAACAATGAAAAGAGAGTTACTGAATTCCTTAATGTAAGTAACAAAAAGGCAGTCGCTCGATTTTTTTTATGCTATTATCTTTGTGATATGGATAATGATATTGCCTTCACTTGGTTTTTTTTGTTTTTTTTACAATGGGCTCCCAAGAATAGAGATGGGAAAACGAAAATGAAAATGAAACATAGTTCTTGAATAATAGAAGAAAAATGAAGGCATCAAATGAAGAAATTAAGCATTTTAAAACAAAATCCAACTAATAAATGATTTCGAACTCTAATCTTCAACAATATATCTGTTTCTCCGAGCACCAAAAGCGAATCTCTGTAACACGAATAAAAGAAAATGATTAGATCTCAAAATCAAAACTCGATTAAAGTTGTTTTGTATCTAATAATGTTATCCCTTAACTGAGAATATCTGCAAGTAGGCTTTTAATCCTGTGAGGAAACGAATGTAAGTAGGTTTTACCGATCTGTTACTGAGGATGGATCTAATATTCGGAACAAGGTACTCAGCAACCTGCGCATAATCAAATAGAACATTAATAATTTTTTTTTTTAATTTTTTTGTTGTGTGCAAGCGATATTTGGATCAGCATTCTTAAATTTCTAGGACATGCCTGCATTAGTTTTATAAGTTTAGTGGTCAACAGCCGACCAAGTATAGTGAGCAAATAAAGATGTTTTCAAATTATGGTGAATAATTAAATATGTATTTCTTAAGTGATAATTTACATAACGGTGTTTTGACATCACCTATGCATTTCGCCTACCATGTGGTCAATTTCGTTAGAGTTGTGGAATGAATGTAATGCTAGTAAGTAATGTCCAATAATTTGATAAGTTTAGTCGTCGAAATTCACGATTATTGAGATAATTGACTCCAAATTAGCCCTAAACCGGGAATCTTCTGTCACCCTCCAATAATGTACTGCCACTTGTACATTATGTCATCCATTATGAATGTTATAATGTACAAGTAGCACAACCCTTTATATCATTGGCCAACACTTTATTTCACATTGCATTTTTTGTCTTTTCAATTAGATCTCGACACGTAGTCGTCTTTTTGTTCTACAAAATCTGTTATGCTCTTGAGAGGATCCAATCCATACTCGTCTAAGGCGAGTCAGTTTTTCGAACTTAATCTGCTGAGTTGTAAATAATTACGCTATTTCAAGTTCATTCACAATTCATCAGTTAATTAATTTGTTTAATTGATTTTATTCTTTAGGGATTTTGAAAAATAAAAAACAGGAATCTGAAAATGGCAAGTGGAGTAGAACGAGATAAATCTCTGCAGTCAATATGTTACAAGCGTGGTTCACTTCAGCTGCTCGATCAGGTACATCTTGCTGATAAGCACACAAATTAGATTGCTCTTAGCTAACTAGTTAGTGAAAACTTAAACACCCAAGTTGAATCTTTGACTTCAGTGAATCCTGTGTTCATTCCTAAAGCTTTGTTTCTGAATTTCTGTAATCATTTTTAGTTCCTAGTTCATTAATTCTGTGGAAGTAATTCTTTGATTTCTATTTGTCTTTTTGGGTCTGCAGAGAAAGCTTCCATTGGAAACTATTTATTTGGAAATCCGAGACACAAAAGATGGATGGTAATCAATCCTTGCTCTGTTTTCTTATTTATTTATTTAAAATGATGGAAAATTTTCTCAGTATCAGCAAGAACAAAGGAAATTCAGTATAAAAGCTTCAGCAGTGGCCACAAATATTTATTTAAAATCAACATGCCTTTTTCCTGCAGGTTATATTCAAATTTTCTCTATCAAATGTCTGATACATGCACAATTTTCATAATAGGGATTTGCCTGGTTGTAATACCATGTTAATCATCTTATCTAAAAGCAACGTTAAAGATGAGCTAAATGTATTTATCTAAATCTTATCTACGACAATTTTAAAGTCATTCCGCAAACAACAATGTCATTGATCATCTTGGCAGTGTCCCAATATAAAAGCTAAACCAATTATTCTCAAAACTGTCCATTTCAAATGAGTAATCCATGATGCTTTTTTCTAGGCAGTTTCCACTAGAGCATGCAATTCTGTGATCACACCATGAGTCCCCGTCAAACATGACTTCATGAAAACTTTGTTCAGCAGAGAAGTTAATAGCTGTTTCTGCTGCCAAGTATTCTACACATTGAGTGGTCATACTCTTATTTCCTAGACAAACCAAATCATATTCTCCTTTCCAGTTTCTGATCGCTACTATGCTTTTCATGGAGTTTTCTTCTTTGAAAAATGTTGCAGCAACAATTCACTATAAATTTTCTTCTGGTTGCCACTTCTGCATGGAACTTTAGCTGTAGTTTCAGTCTCCATTTCTGTAGCCTCTTTGCATTGTCTTTCACATCCTCATGCTGAATTGGTAAGGGTTGCAGCTCTACCTGGCCAGTATGAGTATAGCCTGTTCACCATAACCGTGTCCTTTTCATGGTAAATAACCAGACAACAACAAAGAAAGTCACATAATTTCCGTGTAGTTTATCTGTGGCTTCTCTTGTCCGAAACCCAATGCTAGGACTGGTTATATCCAATGTAATAACATTGAAAATCGACAAGGCACATATCTATATTGCAACATAGCATTCTTTCAGAGCCCGAGTGTTTTGGTGTGGGAGTGAGAGTGGGAGTGGTGTGCCAAAGCCATAATCGGGAATTGATGGAAGTTGGTCGTAAGAAGTGTAGGAATTTGTGACTCCAATCTTCAATTTCCGGGCTCAGTTTTCTACCAAAACGACACCAACCAACTCAAGCTCGACCCACAACTCACACACTCCGGTTGCCACTAATTTTCTTACCCACAATGGGTACACATGGTGGTGGTGATTTGAAGCCACAAAGGCAAGGGAAAGGGGGAACCACAAAGGAGACAAGGAAGAGACCAATACACAAAGTATATTACCGGATTTTGGAGCACCAAGCTGGCCGGAATTTTTTCTTGAGGCTGCCGGTTTATCCTCCACCAAGGAGCAGCCGTTTTCCCCCCTTCAACCCTCTCAAATCACCCACACTAGGTTAACCAAGAGAATAGATATATGTAGGATGAATATTAGGTCACACCAATTGGGCTAAGACATTAATTGGGCCACCAATAAAGACCACAACTATCCAACAATAAATGGGCTAATGAAATCACCATCCAACCTAATAACTTGGACCATCCACGAGTGTTGGGCCACGAGCAACATTAACCCAATTAANTTGTTCCACTAGCTACATTAACAAAATTTAGTTGCTTCTAGTGGCCCCGAGTTGTTTTCGGGTCGAGCCATCGTTTTTGTGTCGATATAATTTATCCAACAACGGTGATACCCAATAAGAAGGTCCCTAGAAGCATCACACCTTATATAGAGGAGTGGCTTGCTATACTGGAGGGATTCATTTCCCCGCATGCATGATCTTGCCATCACCATGACTGAGTCTGATTGTTTTAATGCTGTCCATGCTGTGAAAATCCCACCAATACATGCAACCGAGGGAGCTCTTATCTCTAGCATTTCTGAATTAATGAGTTGTTTTCTTTAGTTTTCATTTGTAACGCAGGAAGCGAGTAGTGTTGCTCATGCCCTTGCAAAATTTTCCATTTCATGTTCGACTCAATTAGTGTGGATTGGGGAGTCCTCAAGCTTCATCACCTGACCTTGTACTCCATGATATTCCTGAATGATATTTGTTTAAAGAAAACAAATATAACACCCACCATCTTTTGGAATTTTACTGATTCTCAATCTAGCTTCGATAGATAAATTTTCTAGTAAACTCTCTAGAGAAGGATCTTCACGTTTTTAAAATTTTTAATCTCCAAAATTTTCCAGTCACTCTACTGCCACCACTTGATTCTCCAATCCACTACACAATCTTTCCATGCAGATTGTGATAAACTTTACCAAAGTATGCACTTTTGACTTAGAACTTACCTTCTTGGTGTAATGCCTGATCAGCATATCTTTGTTGTTCTGTATTCTATATGGTATCTGTTTTAAAAAAATTGGCTTTGTCTAAAAATTTCAACTGGTTATTCTGCTGCTCACTATCAACAACATCACTGAACTCACATCCATCATCTTCTTCTGATAAAATTTGTAGAGGATTCCTCTTCGCTAATCATCTAGCTCTGTTATAAGATTTCTTGACATCTTATGACTTGAAACGCTGGAGGTAAATTTGTGGAATTTTTTTGAATGAACTATTCCACTAAGTCACACAGATTAACTATAATTTTGTAATCATGGTAATTTTTTGTGCTAAGTTTGTCTTTGTAACAACCAATTTTGAAACATTTTAATTAACAATATTTCCTTTTAAATATCATTCGTTTTCTTTCTTCCTCATCAGTACCATTTCCCAGCCCATATGCAGCGTCCTCTTTGGGTATTAAGGAAATCAACTTTATAGAGATTAGCTGATATTCTTAGTGTAATGCACATGCGGGCATATAATTAACTTTAGTGTATACTTATTTATTATGTATTCTGATCACAGCTAAGTTTTATTCATATATTATGTGGAGAAACCCGGTATATAAATTTTAGATGAGTTGCAATTATGGATTCCTTCTAGTGCATATCTGTATAAAAGTAATTATTAACAAAAAGATTGTCCATCTGATGACCTTCTTGATTGGATATGAGCGCACGACCTATCAAAAGTCTTAAGCTATGATGCTCGGACTCGGGTATGTGTATGTATCTAAGTGTTTGATCTTTTATTTTCTAAAATATAGGATACGGGGATATAGCTAAAAAGAGTTCAAATTTCGAACACGGTTATGTGAGTATGTCTTTTAAAATTTTTTTATATTAACCCAACATGTCATTTTAAATAGTCCAAAATTAATCCTTCACAAAGAAGAAAATGAATATTGAATAAGGGGTTAAAATGAATAAAATAGAATTTTGGGGTTTAGCTTTCAATTATGGAAAGTTAATTACTAAATTTTATATAAAATGGAAAATGAGGGACTTGATTGCAATTTAAACTTAGTGGAATACTAAGTGGCACTATATGGATCCCAATTTCATTTCATACAAAGAAAACCCTAAACCATCGATATAGAGAGGAAAGAAGGAAAAAAGAAGAAAAGGTAAAGAAAAAAGATAGAAGAAAAAGAAGAGATAACCTAGTGCCACCGCTGAAGAAGAAGAAAAGGGGAAGGAAGAAAAAGAAAGAAACGGAAACGCGAAGTGTCCAGTTGAAATTTGGAGAATCCGACACATATCCCATACATATACCCATACCCATGTCGTGTCCGATACTGGTACTTTGTCCATTTCGAAGAGTCCGAACATCAGAGGTCTCAAGTNCCCCCCCCCGCCAACTACTACAAACACACAACCCGCATGAGTAGATTATGCATGTCACCTGAATTTTAAGTGGTTTTGATTTGTGGAGATGACAGATGGAGAAAGGGAAGATACACTTCCTCCTGAAGAAGTGTTAGTTTTTTTCCTACTTCAAATATTTAATTACCAAGGGGAGGGGAAAGTGAAAAAATTGGGTGGAAATAAGCCGCAAGAGGTAGAAAGTGTTCTGTTATCATTTACAGTTAAATCATTCTTAGTTTATCTATTTGCACTGAGGATAGTTTAGTGTTTATAGTGCTTTATCACCCCCTTCCCTTCCAATTTGGTAGGGGAAAATTGGACCTTTTATGTCCTCCCTCAATTCACCCAAGTAAGGTGATTTATACCCTTTGCTTCTGCTTCTACTTGCCTCTCATTTCTGTGTTTCCTTTATGATGTATTTCAACAGGACTGCAATAAGAGACATGGTTGTTCGAGGTGCACCAGCAATTGCCATAGCTGCTGCCCTATCCTTGGCAATAGAAGCTTCTAACTTGGGGGCTTTGAATGGGACATCTGATGATGCAGCATCATTTCTAAGCAATAAACTGGAATATCTTGTCTCAAGGTAATTGTGATTCTACATGGAAAACCTCAATGTACTTCCATAATCTGCCATTTGGCATTATTGCCTAGAAACTTAGCAAACTCAGTGTCTTAACTCTTAAATGCAGCCGTCCAACAGCTGTAAATCTTTCAGACGCTGCAACAAAACTCAAGGACGTCATACAGAAGGCCGCTTCCACTGCTTCGGAAGCACAAACTGTCTTTCAGGTTGACACTGTCATACCTTTTGGAAGAACTGTAACTCCTCAGTAATGGACCATAGGCTGCAGGACAGAGTACATGAGAACTTTTCATAGAACCGTGCAATATATTGCATAAAGTCTCATTCACACATTTGTGTAATTAGGTACAGAACATAACAAAGTCGCAGTCTCTTTTTGCGGAGCTAATATTTTCATTATATAGGCTTACATTAAAGCTGCTGAAGTGATGCTTGAAGATGATGTTTCTTCCAATAAAGCAATTGGATCCTATGGAGCTAGCTTCCTTCAGAAGCAGTGGAATGATTCTGAGAAGCTTTCTATTTTGACCCATTGCAACACTGGCAGGTAACCTTCGCTAATTTTTGCCCCTATTTCTTCAACTATCATAATCCTCAGGAATGCTCCAATCACTTGGGCTTTCCCGTATTGTCAACATATATTGTGAATCTAATTTTTCCATATTGAGGTCTCTAAATGTTATCACGTTACTTTCAAAATAGTCTTGCAACGGCTGGATATGGAACTGCTCTTGGTGTGATTCGTGCACTTCACGCAGATGGTGTTCTTGGAAGAGCTTTCTGCACAGAAACACGCCCATTCAATCAAGTGAGTGCTGCAACTTTTTCGTATTTTATATTAGTGTAGTTAAAAAAAACTTCTTACATGTTATGGTCATAATATTAAATTAAGATGTCATTGCAATGATTTTTATTTTTGAAGAATGGAATGATAGTAATTTGTTGATGTGTTTCCACTACTCTCTATTCATGTCATTAGTAGTACAACAAAAATTAGGCAGTTTGTAGAGGTTCAATATCATATCTGACATTATAAATAGAAGTAGTGATCTACAAAATCTTTGACTAAGCCGTAGTTACGCTTACACGTGGCACAAATACTTACTTCCTTCACACTTATCTTACACATTGCACAAATACTTTACTTCTAAGAGACTTCTCTTATTACTCTTGTTCTTTTCTCCTCCTTTTTATTTATTTTTTTCTGAATAAAGTAAATTTTCATCATAGCATCTGTTTAATTTGTAAATGTGATCTGTCTATCGCGGACTGTCCAGCTGCTGACTAGGTTGTAGTTTATTCCATTTGTAGGGTACTTTTCCTTACCCCCATAAAGTTGTGGGCATTGTTCTCATTTTGAAAGCATTACCTTTCAATATAAATGCTTTTGTCAATTAAAAATTTGAAAACTTCAAGCATTTTCTTTGTTGCAAGAATTTGTATTTTGAGTTATCGCTCAAAAGGATCCTGATACCGAGCTTTTTATTTTTCTTTTGAAAGTATTCTGAGCAGGATTACCATATGGCCCAAAATGATAATGCTGCTACATATTCTCATTCTGTCTAGAACTGATAGTGATTTTTAATTTTGTTATCTGAGCTTCTGTGTTTACTTTCTTGATTTGACCTCAGGGATCAAGACTTACGGCATTTGAGTTGGTGCATGAAAACATTCCTGCCACTCTAATAGCTGATTCTGCTGCTGCCGCGTTAATGAAAACTGGGCAAGTGAATGCCGTAATTGTTGGGGCTGATCGCGTCGCAGCTAATGGTACTGAAGGCATTTTCTCCCTCCAATTGAATTTCCATGCTAAGTTCCAAGTTTCGCTCAAATATTTGATCATATTTTAGGTGATACTGCCAATAAGATCGGAACGTACAGTCTTGCCCTTTGTGCAATGCATCATGGTATCCCATTTTATGTGGCTGCTCCTCTCACTTCCATTGATCTGTCACTTTCTTCTGGGCAAGAAATTGTTATAGAAGAAAGATCTGCAAAAGAACTGTTGTATGCCCGAGGAGGACTGGGAGAACAAGTTGCTGCGTCTGGAATTTCTGTTTGGAATCCTGCTTTTGACATTACCCCAGCTAAAATTATTAGTGGCATCATTACAGAAAAGGTCTCTCTCTCTCTCTCTCTCTCTCTCTCTCATGCAAGCTTTCATACACACTTTTTGCTCTCCATCCTTTCTAATGTTGTTGTGCACACCTTTGAGTTGTAGCACCTTATTTTCTTGTCACTATTTACAAATGTCCAGGGTGTCATAACAAAAGATGGGAGTGATTCATTTGATATTAAGAGTTTCATACAAAAGGTACTGAGCAAGCAGTAACACAGAAGCACGATATCCCACCACCAGCGATGAACATTCCTCAGTCAGAAGAGGTGGCCCGTGGCTGATACTTTTTTTAAGTATTGCCTTTAAGAGGTATCGGGCAACTCATTATGCTTTAGGCGTCTTATTTTATGCGTAATTTATTTGTGTGTTTTAAGTGAACAAATTTCGTGCTTTCTTTCGTGTGTTTACTTCCTGAGGGTCACTTGTACAGTAATGAGATAGCACCTTCTGCCCGCTTACGACTGCTAAAGCCTTTTGATGATTTTGTCAATCAAAAATAACATCAAGAATTGCAAAATAAAAGTGAGAGCCGATCTCTTTATTTTAGGCTCATGGGATCAATTTAAATTGGAATTCTGATCTTCCACCCTAATCTGATATTATGGTGCCGGTATAGACTGAAATTCCGTTATGGTCCAATTCTGATCGGTAATAAATATCGGGGCTTTGCAATATTTGATTGATCACAATTCTATATACTCTATGTACTATAAAAATTTCTAGGGACTTCATTAGAGGAATGTTTCCAATAAAAATGGTTTTTTCTGCAATATCCCTAGTAGTTTTCCAAAGTAAAGTGCAAGTGGGTCCCAGACAGGTCGTTTTTTTGAATTCCTAATCACTCAATTATCATCTAAAAATTCATTTCCAAATATACCCTTTCAGAATNATGTGAGAACCCCACGTAGGGTTCTCTCTGAGTGGGCATTATAAGCTTGCCCGCCGCGGGCAGGAGAACGGGACTGCCTTCGTCAATACCCTCCCGTCTTTGATAATTGGACTTCACTCGAATGAAATATTAAGGAGCTCCAACATGGTAATGTTGCATTCAGAGAGGTTTACGAGATTTTGGCTAAAGGCGTTCGAAGCTTTAACAGTAATGTTTCAAGTAATGTGTAAAACAAAAACAAAAATCTTCGTTACAACTAAAACAAAACATCAATTCTAAACAAAATTAAGTAAGCAATACTTTCTCTAGCAAAACTTGGCAAGTTCTTCAACATTGGAGGTGCCATGGGCTTCAAGCCCTATCAAATCCATACGTCAGCGATACTGTGTAAGAAAATTGAATTAATTAACATCAGAATTATTGCCAACTTCACATAATCAGAATGGAAAAGGAAACAGTGCTTGATAAATATTGACTACAACAGTGAAACAGTAAATATAATGAAAGAAAATCAGATCTGGCATGGCTGAGGGGGAATTGCAGTAACTGATGGCAGCACTTTTGGTGTGCCTAGGACATTGGCATGGGCACAATCGAATTTGTAAAAAAATTGGGAGAAATTTTACGTCCAAAAAAATCATATTCCATGTAATTTTGCATTTGAAAATTTACATGAGATATAAATTTTTCGGATGTAAAATTTCGAAAATTTTTGATGTTATATTTCATATAAAATTTCCTAATAAAATGATGAAAATTAAATTGAGAAATTTTTATCGCAAAAATAATAAATGTAAATGAAATAATTGAATTTTTTTTTAAAAAAAATACGAGTTAGACGTATTTCTTTAAGACTCATATTTAACGTATTTTTAACTATTTTCGATATCTGTTTAAATTATTTGATATGCCTATAATGTAGTTCTCAAAATAAGTTTTGAGATGACATAAGTAATTTGTAGATTCGATTAGCGTACGATTGTAAAAGAATTTTTAAAATTAGCATGTTATCGAAATTTAAAATTATTGTAATTTTGCCCCTATTTGGTGGAGATTAAAATCAAATTTTTAGTAAATTTTGATAAAAGTTAAACAGTTATCGATTTCATGAAATATGTTATTAAAATTAATTGTTAACTTTAATTTAGATTAAAATTTAAATTTTAATCGATACAAAACGTGACTTTAAAAAAAAAAAAATTATTTCTCAAAAGTTGGGGGTGGCGCACGTGCCCCCCGGACCCCCCTGGGCCCACCAGTGATTGGCATCGATTTCTAATAGGGTTAAATTCACCAATTACCATCCAATTTTATATTTGGTGTGCCAGGACATTGGCATCGATTTCTAACAGACGTGGCTGTTCTTACAAAATCATCAACATAAAACCCATTAAATTTAGCATAACGTAATTATTTACAAAAAAGAAAAAGAAAAAAAATGTCGGAAAGAAAATTTTAGCTCTCCAAGTGCGAGAGCCAGGGCCGTAGGTCTTGGGATGCGAGTTCCAAATGTTGGAGTGGCCCAATTATCCTCTCTCTGAAACAGTAGCTTCAATTTCGAAAGAGAATAATAATAATAATAAGTTTGAGGACTTAATTGACTATAATAAATAGTTGGAGGACGAAATTATCACTTTATTGAATAGGTGAAGGATGAAATGGATGATGTAGAATAGTTGGAGGCTGTAATTGACGATATAAAAAATCTCGAGGATGAAATGAACGATTTAGAAACGTTGATGAAATTGACAATGTAGAATAGTTGAAGGATGGATTTCCCATTTATAAATAGTTAGTGGATGAGATTGGTGATATAAATTTACTTTATTTAATAATTGAAGGATGAAATTAATGAAGTTGCATAGTTAGAGGATAAAATTAATGTTTATAAAAGTGAGATGATGAAATTAATGATATAGGATAGTTGAAAGATGAAATTGTAGATATAGGATCATTTGAGGACAAAATTTAATTAATTAATAATTTGAGGATGAAATGGATGATACAGTAAAGTTGAAGGATAGAGTTTACATTGTTGAATAGTTGAAGGATGAAATTAATTTTAATAATAGTTGAAGGATGATGATATTGATGATTGCAATAGTTAGAGGATGAAATTTCATTATCTAATTGTTGAAGGATGAAATTTGTATTATCTAATTATTGAATGATGAAATTGATGATTAAAATAGTTGGAGGATGGAATTTATATAGCAAATAGGCAATTCAGTCCTTAATCTATTGGAGTACATCAATTCAATCCTTCAACTATTCGTTTCAGGCAATTGCGTAATCCAACTATTAAATTTCGTCCTTTAACTATTAGAATCATGCAATTGGTACTTTAACTAATGAGATTATGGAATTTCATCCATCATCTATCACGCAATTGGGAAGTTCAATTATCATAAACATGCAATTAGGTACTCTAGCTATCAGAATAGCAGAATCTCGTCCTTCATCTATTAGAATCAAGAAACTGGGTCCTACAACTTATTTTATCATGTAATTCGATCCTGAACTATAAGAGTTGTTCAATTGGGTACTCAAACTGTTATAATCACGAACTTCGGTCCTCCAACTAATAGAATTGTAAATTTGTCTTCAACTATTGATTTCATGCAATTCGCTCCTTCATCTATTTGAGCACTTCATTTCGGTTCTTTCACTATTAGAAAAGTAAAATGTAGTCCTTCAACTATTATAATTATGCAATTTGTTCCTTCATCTATTTGAATCATGCAATTGGGTACTCCATCTATTTGGATCAAGCAATTCAGTCCTTCAACTGTCTGAATAATGCAATTGGGTACTCCAACTATTAGAGTCATGTAATTCAGTCCTTCATATATTTGTGCACTTCATTTCGGTCTTTCGGCTCTTACAATTATTTAATTGGTTGCTCCAACTACTAAAGCCTTTTGTTTATAGAATCATGTAATTGGGTCCTATAACTATTTGTATATCTCAATTCGAACCTTCATCTACTATAATTGTGCAAGTAGGTACTCCAACTATGTGAATCAAGCAATTTAGTCCTTAAACTATTGTAAAGATGCAATTGGGTACTCTATGTATTGGAATAATGGAATTCGGTCCTTTATCTATTTGAGTAATTAATTTCGATCCTTCACTATTAATTTTCTTCCGTAAAGAAATTGGATCATATACTACATGAATCATGGAATTCGATCCTTCAACTATTAGAATAATGCAATTTAGTCCCAAACGGTCAAAAACCTGGCCTGCCGACTGGGGTCGATTTTCTCGTTTGAGTGGGTTGGGTTTGGTTGGGTTGGCTCAAGTCGTAGGCCAATTAAAACCCCACTAGACCGGATTAAATAAAAATATAAAAAAATTAATTTACAAAAAATTGTAACCCAAAATTTAAAAATTAGATGTTCAGATTTATTCAAGCCTCTCTAGTCTTGGCCTCGCCTCAGCCGCTCGTAACTCACCACCCATCGTCGACCAATAAAATGATCTGAACGTGATGTTGACGGTTATTTTCCCTTTTCTTTCCCTTCTTCCTCCGCAACTCCTTTATCCTTGCAAAACGTGATGTTGATGGTTATTTCGACGTTTCTCTTCTCTGTGATTTTAGCGCATGTCTCACCTTTATTGGATTCGCCACTATAGTCCTCTTCATCTTTCCATGCAAAATGACCGCGGTCTCTAGTACAGTAAAAGAATAAGCGCCCTACATTTGATGTATTTTTCTGGACCTCTATACATTTCTCGATGCCATTACCACATTTCGGGCATTGTTTCTTTGTTGGGCAAATAAGACAAGAAGTGTCCGGGCTTCCTACAACTGTGACATATGCCCCTGTTCCCTGCCATCACACTTGAAAAAGGGGAGGGTATGCAATGTAATTAGCAAACTAATAACATCCACATCATCACACAACTTTAATGGTCTGTAGCAGTAAGATCTTAATCCAAGAAAAAACTAATTAAAAGCTAAAAATGCACAAATAGACGTATTGATGTTTGAAGAGGCCACCAGTTGGTTGAATTCTTGGCTTCTTCGAACAGATGTTATAAGAAAGGTTATGATTGTTTTTATAAAACTGGAAAATCAACAATTTTTGGGTGGTTCCTCTCTAGCAATCAACATCTGAACAAGAAAGTCACTATTAATAATAGAACAACTTAAATCAACACAAATCCTTGTTTGTTGAAATTGTACTTGGATAGATAACATACAGCTTGCTGGTAAAAAGTTGCACATTTTCATGTGATTTCCGCAATCAGCAGAGTATTCTAATAAGATGCACTTCTCATTTGAACAACTACAATATCAACAGCCAATCTTCAAATG